CACAGACAACCTCTCGTCAATATGCGTTTTTCGCATTGCATTGCTGCAAAAAAACGCATAAAAAGGGTATTCAAGTTAACCTTTTTACTTTTCAGCCAATCTTGAGAAGCCAAACAGAGGTCATTCCTCTTCGATTCCGAGACCGATTTTACCAGCTGTTGCAGTGCCAGCGAAACCATTCGCCGACATTCGGCACTTTCATCGTTTACAATACGCATTGCCAGCTTTACAAACGCTAACATCGCGTAGTGATCGTTCGTATCCTACAAACACACACAAAAAAAGCATAAAACAGCCGTCATCACACTTGTCAGGGAGGCGCGCAGATCCCAAATAAAAAACTCGTTTCCTGCTCGAGATGGTGCCCTTTCTTTAAAACGCGCTCCTCACCAAAAAAGAGCCCTTTAGTTACTTACGCAATAACCTGTTTAAACTTGGCAATTTTTTAGTAGTTTAATACTCAACCGTTGAATCCGTTTGCTCACTTTTCAAAGCAATTTAACACCTCTGAACTGAGTCCATTGCTTTTTGTCCGACATATGTCTGACTCAATTTCTCGCATCTTTCTTCCCAGGACCATTTTACAGTAGAGGAAATTTAGTAAGTTCCCATGCCACTTTCAATTCTCCCCACAGGTATATTACACAGAAGTGATGTATGTGCGTCATACAAACGGTAGCACTAGTGGGAGAGCTGCAACTCAGAAAAGGAGTAACATAGCTATGTCCAGCGCGTGAGAATATTCCAGTCGAAAAAGTGATTCCGACACTGTCTGGACAATCTTGGATTTTCATCAAATACACATATGCTTATCGACACAGCAACACAAGCGAATGGACGGTAAGTAACGTTGTTCACTACACTCAACGACTAATCTTCCATCTTCTGTACTACGGAATGGCAATCTCAATGGAAAATCAGTAGAGCTAAAAAGTATACCTTTGCAAGTTTTTCAAAAAATACATTAAGCATTTCGATTGCCGATTTTCTTCCATCTTCATACTCATATTCGAGTTGCTCCAGGAAGAACTCGACATGTCTCACTGGCTTTTTGCACTGTGGATGATTACCAACGTAGAGTGCAATAACCTGAAAACAAAATTTTCATTTCGGACATGAGGCCTCACCATTTCGTATGGATTACTGAAACAAATATTTCGGAAAATTAAAAAGTAAGCTTATGCTAAAATAGCACTTTTCG